CAGAAGGATGAAGTTCAACAGCGCTTTGAGTGTTGCTGCAATCACACTTCTCCACATAACAGGTAAGAGCTTACAAAAAGCCTATAAAAACATATCAGAATCAGATGTACATTTAATAATGTTTGTTTCAATTGTTTATTACCTGACAAGCCATTTATTTCCTAAGGACCTTTGTAAACACTTAACAGTTTTATATTTCTCATGACTGTAAAAACCATTGAAACTAAAGACTGACCTAATTTAGTTAATAACACCATTATTCAGATGAAAGATTTGATCTTGTTTTCATGCAGTATATGCACCTGCGCTAATGTAACAGGTGAAATAGTGTGTGTGAGCTACACAAACCAGTTTATCAGCTCTGTCTGGATTATTGTCTGCTTACTTTGTCTTTGTCTGTCCACACAGGATCGCTCTGCCAGTTAGATGGTAAGTTGTCTCTCAATGACCCTAAATCTCTTTTAACTTTGTTAACATGCTTGGATACAGCACTCTGTGAACAGCCCGCTTCTTTGGCAATGAATGTTTGTGGCTTACCCTCCTTGTGAAGGGTGTCAATGATTGTCTTCTGGACAACTGTCTGATCAGCAGTCTTCCCCATGATTGTGTAGCCTAGTGAACCAAACTGAGAGGCCATTTTGAAGGCTCAGGAAACCTTTGCAGGTGTTTTGTGTTGATTAGCTGATTGGCATGTCACCATATTCTCATTTGTTGAGATAGTGAATTGGTGGGTTTTTGTTAAATGTGAGCCAAAATCATCACAATTAAAAGAACCAAAGACTTAAACTACTTCAGTCTGTGTGCATTGAATTTATTTAATACACGAGTTTCACAATTTGAGTTGAATTACTGAAATAAATGAACTTTTCCACGACATTCTAATTTATTGAGATGCACCTGTATATAGCGCTTTATTGTATATTGCTGTACACCCAAAGTGTTTTACAATCATATGGAGGGTCGCTCCTCAACCACCACCAGTGTGCAGCATCCACCTGGAGCCTCAGTACAACAGAGCCAGTGCACTCACCACACACCAGCTACAGGTGGAGAGGAGAGAAAGATAGAGCCAATTCAGTGGATGGGGATTATTAGGAGGCCATGATAGACATGGGCCAGTGGAGGGAATTTGGCCAGGACACCGAGGATATACCCCTACTCTTTACGAGAAGTGCCATGGGATTTTTAATGATCACAGAGTGTCAGGACCTGGGTTTAACGTCTCTTCCAATGGACGGTGCTCTTTGACAGCATAGTGTCCCCATCACTACACTGGGGCGTTAGGACCCACACAGAGCACAGGGTGAGCGCCCCCTGGTGGCCACATTAACACCTCTTCCAGCAGCTACCTAGTTTCCCAGCAGGTCTCCCATCCGGGTACTGACCAGCTCAACCCTGCTTAGCTTCAGTGGGCGACCAGTCTTGGGCTACAGGGTGATATGGCTGCGGGCCATATATTCATATTTGACATACCATAACTCCATGTTTAATCCCAGATTTATAAATGCAGACCAAACAATTAAAATGTTAATTATGCAAGAAAACCTTGTGCTTTGGACATCTGAACCACTTATTTAGACTTATTTCATTTATTTACATTTACATTTAGTCATTTAGCCGACATTTTTATCCAAAGCGACTTACAAATGAGGACAATAGAAGCAATCAAAACTAACAAAAGAGCAACAATATATAAGTGCAAATTATATATTTATTTAATGAGTAGATTAGGCACACATTTTAATAAAGCCAAATCAGTTTTTTTTTTGTAACAAGTAAATACGTTCGTTGACGTAAGACATAACACTTAAGACACTTTTTCGCCACCTGCTGGTGTATTTATGTAATATTAAGAAATGGTTACTGAACGAATCTGAATGAATAATTTTGGTGAACGAACTGAAAACGAATGAATCTCTTGAAAGAATCAAAATTTCCACCACTAAAAGGCAATCCCAGAAACGCGTTTGAAACAGCCCTCGTTTACTACATCACAAAAGTCAATAACCAATCAGATTCCTAGCATTAGCATATCCATTTGTACAAACGCGGCGCACTTTTCCCCTCCGCTGCCTCAAGGTAAAAACTGACTAGAGATCTCTGGATTACCAGCACAAAACCAAAAATAAAATTGAGCGAAAAACCCATGAAGCCATGGTTTATCGTGAATTTAGAGCCGCTAACTTACTTGAATAATAACCCGCGGCAACAGTGTAAAAGTATCCAGGAGTCAGGCGCACCTCTCCCACATTGGTTCGCGGGCACAAATTGAAACCACAAACTTGGCTGCATTCGAGTCTTCAAGGCATTTTGAGGACACAACATCGTCAAATAAGCAACTTTAACATTATTAGCTGTTTGATAACATAGTGAAGCCAAGGGCTAATTATATGTGTCAGAAAGATACGATTTAGCATTCTGATACATCGACTTCTAAACGACCCTGTATAATTTTCTCTTCCTCCTCTTCTGAATCAGTTTCTGGTTCAAACATATATGGCTTAATTAAACCAATATGTCCACTTGCCATTGTATCGTGTTTACTACAGTTCAGTTAGTGGATCAGGAGGCCCTGCTGGATTGGCTGAGTGGAGGTGGGGCTAATTTGCATATTCATGCATGTTCCGCGTATAGTAAATGAAGCAAGGGTGTAGAGTTACATTCAAGCTATTTTAAGGCATGAGATAATTATTTTCATGAGAAAAAAAACAAACATTTAAAGTCACCATGAAATCAAAATTTAAAATACTTATTTTTTAATGGAATACTGTAGTGTTTATTATAAATA